AGGTGGGTGGAGGATTGAAAATACCCGGCAAGTTATGGGAGGTACATACGAGTACGAGGGCCATTCGATGACTAGTAGACAAGGATGGGTGGGCGGGCAAGGGAAGAAGGGCCCAAGCGGCCACGAAGGTCGTGGTTGGGCGGTGATGCAATGCGGTTGATATACGGCCTGGGAGCAGACGAGGCATTCAATACATCTTCTCTGAATGAGACCGCTCACGGTCATACGTGCGTTTGACGAAGGGCTATCCGGAGATACAAGTGACCTGTTGACCATCCTAGGGCTCTCTGAGTAAGCCCGATCCGGCGATCAGTACAGTGTCCCAACATGAGATCTGTCGGCGACAAACACATGCGCCGGCACACACGGCCCGGCACTGCCACCACTCCACGACGGCCGGGTCTAGCCGTATGCAGGCGGAGATGCCGGATCGGAATCGGTGGAGGCGTTCTCTCCTGCTCTCCCACTACTGTTGCTACTAGAGGAACCCATTCTCGCCTTACCTCACGCAGTCGTCCCGCTCAATTCAACCTGGGCCGAGCTGCTGCGTCGTCGACACGGTAGTCTAAGCGGCCGTACTCGTACTGGTCGTGGTGGGCGGCGGCGGCAGCGAGTGGCTAGAGAGGAGCAGGAAGTAGCAAGGGGGGGGGGAACACACAGTCCTAACAATCGTGTACTCTGCGCTGGCTTCTACCCAAAATACGGCGTCGTCTTCTTTCCTCTCTCCTTTTCGTATGAGACCTTGCGCAGAGTATGACAACGAGGGCGCATGGTATGATGAATGAAGGAGGGCGAGGAAACGGGGGCTTCTCGAGGGGGAACCTTGCTCGATTCGGGAAGAGGGGGGGGGGAAGGTGGTGGCGACTCTGTGGTGATGGTGGTGCCTCCTCCCGATTGAAGGATGGCCGCCCCCAAAGCCAGAGGTGCGCGGGCCGGGCCTTTCCCCCGTTCCCCCCGTGCCCCCTCCATTCCTGTCCTCTTGTCGAAGAAGAAGGGGGGGCGGGGGGCGAGAATGCGGTTCGGGTGAGGCAGTTTTCGCCACACCTTATTCTCACGCAGGCTCAGTCATGGGTGGGCGTGCGGGGGGGCGTGGATCGGGCTTGGCGATTCTGTACATTCCTGTGTGCAGAACAATAACTGGGGTTGACAAGTTTACACTCATCATCCATGTCCGTATTGATCGCGTGTCCGAGCGATGATGAAGCGCGGGGCAATACGGTTGATTTTCTCTTACAGAAGGGAAACGTAAAACCAGGAGAGACACATGGTTGTCATTACATTTGTATACATGCGTGTTACTACTTTGGTATCTCGCCCGCAACCCAAAAAAAAGCCCATCCACATCCACATCCTCTCTTTAAAGGCTGCCTCGTGTCAACAAGGCCTCTTGGAAAATAGATCGCCCATCGCACATGCCGTGGCGGAAAGAAATGGCAGATCTCGTTCTGCAAAAGAAAAATAAAAGACACAGAGAAAGAGAAAGAGAGGGAGGGGGAGAGAGGATGTGAAGCACATTAGTAGGCAAGAAAACTCCGTAACGCGTCGCTGATGCAATTTTTGCTTGGTGTAGTAAGTGTTGGAAAAAAGGAACTATGTTCGAGGCGAAAGAGGTGTGGGTGTCATGGCGGAGGAAGGGTAGATATGGAAGGAGTTGGAGACGCCGGTGCGCAGAGAGACGACGTAGGTCCCCAGAGCTGACGGACGACAGAGTCCGGCTCAGCGGCCGGCGTGCAAGGCGCCGAGGTGACGACGGGCGAGGCCGACGTCCTCTCCCACCGGGGACGAGGGAGGCACCGCCCGTCCCGCTCGCTGTGGAACTGCTCCGCCCGCGCCGCGCGGCCAGGATCATGTCCGCCGAGGGCGTCGCCAAGGAGGGCTTGTGCGCCTAGTAGAAGCCGTCACCCGTGTTGGCCCTCGAAACGCTGGACGCGGGCGTCGCTACGCTTCCGTCGCTCGGTGTCGCCGGCTCGACGACCTGGTTGCGGATGGTCATTATCCACTCGTGCTGGAGCAGCTCGACAGCCGACATGCGCTTCTTCGGATCCTGCAGGAAGCAGCCCTTGAGGAAATCAATGCCCTGCGGGCTGAGCTGGTCGGTGCCAGGCAGCTGAGGGGGGTTGCCCTGCGCAATGTTGTACATGATGGCCCACTCGTTGTCGAGGTTGGCCCAGGGGCGCCGGCCGGTGGCCATCTCGAGGATGACACAGCCGAGGGACCAGACGTCCACGGCTCCTGCGCGGCCAGGGTTTTCACCCTTGATGACCTCGGGAGACATGTACATGGGCGTGCCGGTCATGGACTTGTTGGGCTTCGCCTCGTCCATGGCTTGAATGAGTGTTTTGCCCTGCCGCGCGATGACCTTGGCGGCGCCAAAATCGACGTACTTGATGATGCCGTTGTGGTCAAGGAGGATGTCTGCGCGATTGCGTTAGGATTCAGGTGAGGAAGACGGCCGGGGGAAGGAATGGCAACTCACTTTCCGGTTTGATGTCACGATGGGCAATGCCGCTTTCGTGGAGATACGCAAGTCCCTCTAGGAGTTGCAGCGTGTAGACCATGATGACCTGCTCGTCCTCGATGCGGCCGTGTTCCAAAAGGTTCGCGAGGGAGCCTCCGTCGCAGAACTCCATGAAGATGTAGACGCGATCGCGGTGGACTTCGATGCCGTAGTAGGATACTACGTTGGGGTGGTCCAGCACTTCCAGAACACCCATCTCGTCCTTGATCTGCTCGGCAACGGTTGGGATAAGCTTCGGATCTTGCAGCCTGATCTCCTTGACAGCCATGAGGTGGCCCGAGTCCAGG